TTTTAATGGTAACTTAGTTATTATTATTACTTTTAATACGAGCTTTTTACCACTACAATATACTATTTAAACCTGTACAAAGGGGTTCTATGAAAAGATTGTGATAACGTAATATTATCCTTTTCTTCTTCGAGCATTGTAAAAAAAATATTTATACTGTTAAACAGAAAAAAAGAAAAAAAAAAAAAAAAAAAATTAAAAAAAAATATAACTATTAGTTAATATTCTGTTAATAATATCCTAGCTGGATAGCTCAGTTGGTTAGAGCGTCGAACGAAAAGTTAAAACCCGGTCTGCTGAATAATACGTTCAAGTCCTGCCACCGCCAACTCAACGCTTGAGTAGTACTTCGGTACGCAAAAATGTTGGTCAATAACGGGCACTACTTTGGATTAGTCTGAATGACTACTTGTGGCTGTTCCTATGCTAAGCTAACAATATCTTCGGGTATTAGAACATTGTATAGAAAAATATAGCATAAAAATTCAAATAAATATATATATATATTTCTCTCTACTACCATACTAGGCCGACGACATCGGAAGAGGGGGACGGGCCGGGGCACGTGTCGTAATGCTATTCCGTGTCGTCGACCATGCCGTAAGTCGATTTTTATAATATATTAAAATTTTTTGATAAAAATTTTGCTTATTATTATTATGTATTTCGCCGATAAAAAAAAAGTTTACAAGTTTATGCAATACAAATATATAATACATGGCTTCGGAAAGAAGAAGACTAGTTTAATCTTATGACCAAGCCCCTTTAAATAAAACTGTTAATATTAAAAATACAAAGCAAAGTAACTCGTTTAATAAACGTTAAATAAAACGTTGCGTTAAAATAAAATAACGTTAAATAAGATGTAACGTTAAGTAAAAAATAAAATAAAATACATTTTACACTATGATAGAGTGAAATATATCCAAAAGTATACGAAAAATTTTTTTAATTAACTATTTTTTTAATTAAATTCATTTTTCCTAATTGGTTTTAGATTTATAAACCTTTTAAATTTAAATCATAAAATAACAGATAATACACAAATAACAAACAAAACAAAAAACAAACATTTTTAAAAACATTTTCAGTAACTTAATGTATCTTTTATATATGTTTTTTTATATGTTTTTTATTAAAGTTTATTATATCAAATAAAATAAAAAACAACGTATTATGACGTTGTTTTTTATTTTATTAACTAAAACTACTTTATTGTACAAATTGACTAACAGTATATATAAAATATATATTTAAACCATATTTATAAAGAAATAAAATAAATGGACAAACGTGATTTCTCCTAGTCAAACGCTTCAGAAAAATTTTAATTCGTTGTCATTTATTAAAAGCTTTTGCTTAAGTTTGTTTTTAAAATGTTTAATAGAAGAAATAGTTTTTAACTCATTATTCAATACCATGTTCCATAGTTTAGGACCTCTGTTTGCAATTGAAAACTTAGTAACAGAGTAATAGGTTTTAGGTTGAATATAATTGTTTTCTGAAAATCGTGTTGGGTATATATGATTTGTTTTTTCCAAAAATGAGTCAAATAAAATAGGTGATATTTTTTATTAACTTTGAACATAAAAATAAGGATTTGATAAAGATTTAGTTGGAATACGGTGAGAATATTAAATTTAATAATAAAAGAGGTTTAGTGTGTGAGAAACGATCTACAATTCCAATAATTTTTAAAGCATGCTTTTGTTTAATTTATAGTTTATTTATTTTAGTTGAATTAGTGCTACACCAGTCAACGTTTACATAACTTAGGTAGCTATAAATAAATGAATAAAAAATGTATTTTAAACAGGTTTGATTTAATAACAGCTTAGCTTTGTAAAGTAGACCAATATTTTTCGAAATTTTATTATGAACTATTTTTATGTGCTCCTTCCAACTCACATTTTCATCAATAACAACACCAAGAAATAACAATGAATGCTCTCTTACTATACAAGAGTTATTTACAACTAAATTTGGAAGATTTAATGGGATAAGTCTCTTTCCATGAAGATGATGGAAGAGAGTATATTTTTTTTTTTTTTTATGTTTATGGATAATTTATTTGCTATAAACCATTCGCTTAGTTTTGCAAGCTCTTTGTTTACTGTTTCAAATAAAGAATTTATATCCTTATCAGAATAAAATAAGTTTGTGTCGCCAGCAAATAGAATTGAGTTTTATACTTGAAAGTTTATTTATGTCATATATATTATTAAGGAACAAAAGGGGCCCTAAAATTGATCCTTGTGTGACGCCGCAAGAAATTGTTGCTAAATCCTTTTTACTATCATTAAACGAGATATACTATTCCCTGTTTGTTAGATAACTTTTAAACCAAGCTAAGTTATAATTTAATATACCATGATTTTTAAGTTTGTGCAGGAGAATATTATGATCCACTGTATCAAAAGCCTTACTTAGATCAATAAAGACGCCTAATGTAAATTTGTTTTCATCAAAACCTATGAATATTTTGTGTATTAGATGAATGATTGCATATTCGGTTGAATGGCTAGATTTAAACCCAAGTTGTTTATCATAAAGAATATTATTTATAGTTAAAAAAGAATAAAGTCTGTTATACATAACATGTTTCAAAATCTTGGAAAAGCAGGTAAGAATTGAAATTGGTCTGTAGTTTGATACATCAGAAGGATCACCTGACTTATAGATTGGTGTAACCTTTGCACAACTTTAAATTTTCAGAAAAAATCCAGTATTTTAAAGATAAATTTAAAATATGTAAGAGTGGTATTTTTATAAAACTAATTGATTTAATAATGACATTACTACTAACATCATCAGCGCCCGGACATTTATTTGGTTTTAGTAAAGAAACTGAGCTTAATAATTCATCTTCTGTAAGTTCTTGATTAGACATGACAGTTATATTAGGTGTTAGGTATGAACGAAAGTTTGTCTGAGATGGTCCTATTTTAGAGGCTGAATTCGAACCTACATTAACAAAAAAGTTATTAAGTTTTCTGCAACTAATGATTTATTTACAATTAAGTTATTATTAATTTTAAGATTAGTTGGGAGTGCATTTCGGTCCAGATTTTTTTTGCCAATTACCTCTTTAATAATATTCCATGTTGTTTCTCTTTATTTTTTCAGAATAATAGTTTTTTTTGAGCGTTTTAGAACAGATTCAAATAAACGTTTATAACTTTTATAAGTAGTTTCATTTACCAAAGTTCTTTTTTCAAGAAATTAATAATATAATCATTGTTTAATTTTGGAAGATTTAAGGATTCCCTTAGTTATCCATGGGTTTAAAAGCGTTTTTGATTTAACTAATTTAGTAATTTTAGGGAATGCTTCATTATAATGAGTAAGAAATTCGGTTAAAAAAATATCGTAGGTTTGATTGGCATTTTGATTTTTTAGCGTCTCGTTCCAATTTACGTATGATAAAAGATGATGAAAATATTTCATGGATGTTTCGTTTAAAATTCTTGTTGTAACTTTTTTTTTTTTTTATAAGCATCAGGCTGAATGCATTTATTTGATATTATAAAAATCGGAAAGTGATCCGAGATGTCCGTTTTAAATATTCCAGTTTTAATTTTTGTATTGACAAATTTATTAGTTATAATTTGATCAATTGACGTTGCACTACCGCTAGTCACACACGTAGGTTTATTTATTATTGGAATGTATCCGCTTTGAAAAATTTATTCGTTTGTTTATTTACGTCATAATCTAAAATATTAAGGTTAATGTCACCCACGAAATAAACACTTTTATTTAAACTCAATTTATTTTCAATTCTATTTTTAATGTGATCTTTAAACACATTAATATTTCCTCATGGTGGTCTGTATAAAGCATGGACGACAATGTTTTTTGAGGCTTTATTAATGATTTCTACATATAATGACTCACCATTATTTCTACACATAATGACTCATAATTATTTCTACACATAATGACTCATAATTGTTTCATAATGACTCATAATTATTTGTGATTGAACTTATACTTGAATTAATTTTGAATAACAATAAATTCTTAATAAATATACATAAACCCCCGTCTTCCTTGCGCAGGTATCTAATTTGGTGTACATTGTAATTGGGTATTTGGAAATATGATTCGTTCTCAACATTTTTGTCTTGACACCATGTTTCACTAAGACAAATTTGAAAATTAATTTCAACTTTATATAGAAACTGTTTTAATGATTCAAAAATTTTTTTTTAACTCCTAAATGAAAAATTGAAAATGAGTTTCATCCATTCTTTTGAGTATGGGTTATAATATAATGGGCTAATATTTTTAATAAGTTCATCATCATTATAAAAATTAATATCAGGATCCGAATTGCGATTTAAAAGGATTGAATTTTTAATTTTAAATGTTTTAAATTCAAAGTTTGACAAATCAGTTTCCTCAGCCATTTTAAATGAGTAACTTTAAGAACAAAAAATATAAAAATTTAAAGAACTTAATTGATGGCACTTGTTTTCCTAACATCCTTAGCAATTAATTCATTAACAACACAATATTTACCGTTGGCCCTGTGTAACTTTCTTCGAAAAGCTTTTACCGTATTAACACTGTTTCCATTGAATAATCTCCGTAAATAAATATTCCGGAGCCTTTAAGTTTGTTCGCATTTTTTAGTATTTTTGTTTTATCTTTATAGTCAAGTAATTTTATCACAATTATTCTTGGCTTATTTAAATCAAGTTCACCTGTCCAATGGGCTCTTTCTATATTTACTCCAGTTAAATTAAGTTTATTTTCTAGTATGTTTTGCATTTTTGTTTCAGAAGTTTATTTTCTAGTAAGTTTTATATTTTTGTTCTAGCTTGTCAAACTATTTATTTAAAGTTACTCCAACCATACAAAGTTTTAAATATATTTTATTTTAAATTAATCTCTAGTTTTCAAAAAAATTGAAGTTTTGTTTTCTAGGATAAGCAAGTTGATCATCACCGTATATCCACCGATGACTTTTCTCATGTTCCGGTAGTTTATTTTTTAATCCGATTGCATTTTAAAAATTTTTTAGGGGAGGGGGAGAGTATTTGTTTTTTGTTTGCTTGGAGTCTTCGCTTTGTATATGAAGATCACTGGATTGGTTTAAAGCAATAGGGTATTTTTTTCGGTAATGTAATGCTCCTCATGGGAAAGAAAACATGTCAGACGATGAAGATGACGATGTTATAGATTCTTGGGAAGACGCTGCTGATTCAGGAGTACGATTTTTTTGTTTTGTTTAAAATTCGAATTGTTTTTAGATTTTAGTTTCTTTTGTTCTTATTTTAATTTTAATTTGACAAAAACTCAAACTTGTAAAAGCAAATTGTATAAAAAAAATGTTTGATCTGTTGCAGCTTTTATTAAACATAACTATAAATTAGCAAGCTATAATGAGCAATTTTTAATAGTAGGTGAAATAAATTTGCTACTAATTATAAAACTATATCTTAAATAGTAATAAAATATGGTTGCTAGGAGCAATAAACAAATGAATATAAGATATTTAAGCATATATCGAATAATATCTGTTTTGATATTGAGTTTTGACTTTTAAAAAAACAGTAAAATTTTTTGTGTGTGTATTTTGTTATATAAAACACATTTTAATGTGTTTTATATAATAAAATAACTCTGGATTTAAAAATTGTTCAACACCCTTAAGATAATAATGATCGTACCTTAATTTTTTTTATTTATTATTAAGTCAATCTTAGTCTCAATTGAAGCTGAATTATTTAAAATTTTAAAAATAGTAATCATTAAAAATGTAAAAGCAGAACAAACATAAAGTAATTATGGAGCATATCCTATTCTTGCTTTATAAGATTTAACCTTTAAGGTTGTATTTAAAAATTAGGATCTAATGTTCATTAATGTTCATTAGCTGTTCATTAGTAAAAATAATAATTAACTGGGTTTTTAATTAGCCAAACAAATTCAAGTCCTTTACAATCTCAAATATAATGTTATACATCAAAAGTAGTTTATTATAAGATTTGATTATATGTATGGACAAAACTAAAAGTATAAAATATCCAATGTTATTTATTTTTATCAATATCTAAGCCATTTCTGACTATTTGCAAAGTTAATCTAGATATGGCTTCAATAGTTTTTTCTGCCTGATCATATTGCTTAAATATACAAGATAGTATAAGTATTTAAGAAATGGATAAATGCAATGTAAAAAGTAATTGCAATGTTTTAAATTGTTTTTTATTTCACACCATTAAAGTGTTTGAAAAACAATGTTGATATTACTTTTAACAATTCAACAACAAATTTTACTCCATTTGCTATAATGGCAATTTATCATTTTGCAATCCATTTGCTATAATGGCAATTTATCATTTTGCAATTTTTTTCTTTTTCGTTGAACTTTTTTTATTAAGCAAGAGATCAGACTCATTCATGTCTCTAGGAGTAATATATTTGCTTTTGTAAAGTGAATCTGTATATTGAGGTATATTTTCTGAGCTTATAAAATCAGGAGAAAACAAAAATTTAAAAAGCAAATACCTCATCAATAGTTTTATTGCCTAAACCGTGGTATGATGTAAAAAATTAAAAAAAAAAAAAAAATAGTATTGCATGTCAACAATATAACAATTTCAAATATTGCTATTTTTATTTATTTTTACATTTATTTTATTAAATTTTAAATGTTTTTATAGTATTTTTATTAAAATTTTTGAGTTTTAAAAAACTAATAATTGCTTTTGTTTATAGGATCTTGAACGGCGTATGGAAAAAAGAGAAAAAATTGTTAACAAAATCAAAAACAGTGAACCAATGGAATTCAGGTATGCAGATTAATATATATTTTTTCAAACCAATGATATAATATTTTAATTTAAAATAATAATATAATAATTTAAACTAATAATTTAATATTTTGATATTATAATATTTTAAGCAATAAAGCTTTTATTTATGATTTAGTAATGCACCAGTAACAATCTTAAAAGCAGAAAATGCCTGTAAAACTGAGTACAGCCCTCAGGTGAGTTTTTAAAGACTGTAAAAAGTCTGATACCATATTATATAAGAATATGTTCATGTAAATACAAAACTAAACGGAGCTGAAATTAAAATGTCTTTTTAATTAAAAAAACAAACAAATTATTCCAACATTTTGATTTGATCTATTTTTTTATTTTTTTATTCTGATTCACTCCAAAGGCGGGGAAAAAACTAGATGAATAAAAGTTTTTAGAACATGCAGGGACAGATACATTAAAAGAATAAGACCTTGCTTGAATAATGACCAGTCAAGCGAGATTGAATTTTAGTTGATAGAATTTGAGGTGATAACTCCTTTGAGCAGCAACCATGATAGTATTTGTAGAAAAGAGAATAAGATGCAACTTTACGACGATGGGAAAGAGGCTCAAGCTTAGCAGATAGAGTGGGTCCAACTATGTTTACAATGCGTTTTTAAACTTGTCTAGAAGAGAAAAAGCATCATTAGGAGAACCAGCCGAAATTCGACAACAGTATACGAGACAAATAAGAGATTATAGAGACGAATAAGAGATTGTAGAGGTAGAGAATGGAATCAGGAGAGAGAAAATGGCAAGCACGATAAAGAGAAGCAACCTTAGCAAATTCTAATTTAGCAATCCATTGTATATATGGTTTCTATGAAAGGTAAGAAAGGTAAGTAGTAAACAATAATACAAGAAGAAGTAAAGAAGAAGACTCAGTGAGAGGGTTGCCATGAATTAATATAAAAATATCGACAGTACTGCAATAGTTATTTGCAGTAAATAACTGGGTTTTGAAATTTACAAGCCACTGTGAGCTACAGAAGTGAGATCAGATTCAAGATTGGCTGCTTGTTTTAAGCGATCAAAAAAAAACAAGAAAAAAAAACAAAAAAAAAAAACAATAAGTTACTGGAAATAAAAAAGATTGTTGGCCTTTGAGGATGACTTTAATAAAGCGGTTAGAAAGAAACAATTTGATAATCTCAAAAACCCAGATACATGAAACAAGCTTATGGAGAAGACCAACACGCCAAATTTTGTCAAAAGCCTTAGATATGTCAAGACAAATAGCCCTAGCCTCTCCACCTCCATCTAATACACAATAAAATCTTTACATCAGTCACAGCAGTAAGCAAATCAGCCGTATTGATTGTCTGACAACAAGTTATTTGATTCAAGATCGGATGTCAGAAATTTGTTTATCAAAGACCTTGCTAATAATAGAAAAAAAGACTGATTGGGCGATAATTGGAGGGATCAGAATGTTTACTTGAGTTTTGAAAATTGGAACAAAAGATGCTTTTTCCACCAGGCAAGAAAGCAAGACTCAGTCAAGCATTTATTAAATAGTTTAGATAAAATTGAAAGAGTTCTGGAAAACAGTTTTGTAAGACCCTGACAGGAATATTGTCTGGACCACAAGCCATAGAAGAGTTTAATCAAGATATGACTTTAACAAGGCAAGCTGGAGTGATTTGAATGTCTAACAACAAGTTAACCTGTTTAATTGGAATGGAAGGAAGAGAATGGCATAAGATTTGAGAGTTGAATTAGAAGAAAAATTCTTTGCAAATATTTCTGCCTTATCCTTGGGAGAGGTAATAAGATCAGTCCCATGAATGAGAGATGGAATATTAGACCTTCCTTTGTTAACAACGCTGTTGAAGATTTTCCAAAAGTCTGTAGAGCCCAACTGAGATAATATACAAGGTTTAGAGCTGAGAAAAAAAGGAGCTTAGCATCTGACAGTATCTTTTTACATCGATTTCTTGCAATAATAAATAGCTGTTTGTTCTCAAGAGAGTTGTTCTTTAAAAAAAAATTAAAAAAATGATTACGATTAGATATAGCAGCTGCACAAAAAGATGAAAACCATGGAATAGAATAAGACTTGACTTGGAACCAATAGCATTTGGGCATTCCTGCCTGAATCCAGGAGGTTATGTAGGAGGCACATCTCTCAGCTGAGAGGGAAAAGACATCAGCCCAAGTCAAACAGCAGGGTCAGTGAGATTAGAGCCAATCCATTCAGTGTTATGATCATTAAAGTCACCAATAACAACATTAGAGGGGTAAAGAGAGAGGGTGGGGTCAATTTGATCAGAAATTATATCTAAAAGAGTGCAGTCTTGGAAAGAAGAAGAACGATAAAGAACAAAGTGTTTAAAATCTTTAAAAAGAGTTTAAAATCTAAAATACAAGTTGTTAATAATATCATCACTTAAACTAGGTAGTAACTTAGTAACAGGCAAGCAAGCAACAAAACTTTTTTCTATTTCAGATAGAAATGTTATAGCTTCTGTCTGCTTCTATTAAATCTAAATTCTAAAGTGGATGATTTCACTTTTTTATTATATGGGTAATTTAAAAAATTATCTGGTAGTTCTGAATTCTAAATCTGGTTTATAGTCATCTGGATTAACTAAATAGCAAAGTATTACTAACAGTATTATAATTTCTTCTTTTGTCAGTTTCAGAGTCAATAAATAAATTCTGAGCTATATTAGTTTTAAGTTTAATGTTTTATAAAAAGAGTTTTTTTTAGTGTATTCACAGTATTCCCAAATACCAATATCAGAGATGAATTTTATTTTCTTTTCCTTAAAATCAAATCTGTTCTGGATATATCCACAATTGCTTACCCAATAAGATTTATTAGTTCTAACAATTGTTTGAACATACTGTTTAGAGAATTCCATCTTTTTTTAGTATATAGAAGGCCTAACCTCTTTTTCTAAATCCATTTTTCAAATGTAAAACATAGTTAAAAAATATTGCTTTTCAATGTCAATTTTCTAAATAGCTTTTTTATGAGAATTTTTTTATAAAATGACTATTGTTTCATTTTAAGTTTAATATTCTTATTCACAGAGTTGTCATCCAAGCACTCTTTATTATTATCAAAATCAACTTTATCATTTTCATTACCTAAACATTGAATTGGTCTTCTCCAGTTATTTACATTGCTTAAATTTTTTTTTGTAGACAAGTCAAGTTTTATACACTAAACAAAGTGTATAAAACTTGTATCTGTCCCTGCATGCTCTAAAAACTTTTATTCATCTAGTTTTTTTCCCCGCACTTCAATCCTTTTGAACTCTTTCCCATCTTCATATTTTCCTGACTCATACAACCTTCAACTTTTCAAGTCTTCTGTCAACCGTTTTCTTGCTCTATAACTCTGTTCTTTTTTTTCCTAGTAACTCCCAACTTAATAGTGGTTGCTTGCAGCCTTGTTGAGAGTGAATACTAATAAAAAAAAAAAGTTTTCTTGTCTTGCTTTCTGCATAACTGAAGCACCATCATCAACATATTTATAGATGTTATTGGTCAAATTTAAGGCAAATTCATTTAATAAAAATAATTACATATTAAACCATTTTTTGAAAAACATAGTGGCATTTGTCTGAACAATGTATGTTGAGACTCATGTACATTCAAGTCTGCTTAAATTCAGATCTCCAAGAGAAATTTACAATTTTCTTTTTTTGTTCTTTTTTTTTTTTGTTCTAGCTATTAATCAATTTTTAACTCATAACAATCGCATTATATATATTTTATATTTGATTTTTAGTAATTTTTAAATCTTGAGCTTCAGTCTCATAATTTACCACTCCTACTGGGCACTCAAAATGTGTTAAATTTTAAAATGTTGTATTTATAGTAAATGTATATTTTTATGAATTTCAACACACTACTAAATGTAACCTAATAGGTTACAAATAGGAGTGTTGAAATTCATTAAAATGCTTGCCCAGGTACCTGTCTAACAGACTGTGTACTAAGTTGTAATTATAAAGTCAATAAAACTTTTATTTTACTTTTAAACTAAATTTTAAATTTGTATTATTGCTTTTACAAAATATTTGTTACTAATTGGTGAGCGCTGTTTTCTTATAACATGTTAGTTTTTTAGAATAAACCTTTGAGCAAAAGGTTTCTTCTAGAATAAGTTTTTTCGAAGTCTATACTTTTTTTAAAAGAAACTAGAAATATTTTAAATAAAATTTGCTTAACTGAAACTTGGATTTCTGTCAATGCAGTTCAAAATATATTTTTCTTCTAGATTTTGAAAAAGTTTTGTTTTGGTGAGACAATCTTATAAACTAGTTCATAGAGTTCAGAAACTCAAATAACTTTGCAAACATGTTTTATATTTTCAGAAAATTTTTTAAACATGTTTTATATTTTCAGATAAATTTCTAAACATGTTTAGTATTTTCAGAAATTCTTGTAGTGATAAAGAAATCGAAACCATTGAAAATTTTAACAACAAGATCCTCAAGATTCACATACTGAGTTAATGTTGTTAAATGTTTATATTATAATTGATTATTTTAAACTTAAAAAAAGCCGCTTGTTTAAAAGAAAGGTAATTTTCCTTTTATAAGTTTGGGTTGTAAGCAGATCAAGGGAGCTAATTCCAATTGCATAAAGAAAGTTTCTCTAGTGAAGCAATTTTAATTTTGATAATTGTAAATTGTATAATAACATTAGTTGTTGTCTGTTTTTGAAGTAAAGTTTTCCAAAATGACACAAAGAATGATTTATAAATATGATGGTGGCATGTGAGTCAGTGAGGAGTTTTTATAAATTTGCGTTGCAATCGTTTATCAATTTTGAATCTCAGAATCTCAAGTGAAAATGAATTTTTACAAATTATCTATTCTGTCTATTCAACTATTTTCAATTCTATCCTGCCTATTTTATTCTAGTTTCAACAATGACTTATCCTTACCTAGTCTGGTTTTAACATAATACTTTTTATTTAGAAAATGAATATGAAAATATTATCTATTGATTGTTTGAATAAGTATATTTCCTTCGTTTAAAATAAAAAAACAAAGAAAATTTACTTATTCAAGTATTAAATTGTTTTTTTATTATTCATATTTTTACTGTTGCATAAAAGATGCCAATGTATATGACTAATATAAACCACTACCAATGTATAATACTAATATTAACCACTACCAATGTATATGACTAATATAAACCACTACCAATGTATATGACTAATATAAACCACTACCAATGTTTATGACTAATATAAACTACTACCAGTTGTGTAGTGGTATGGTGATAGTGGGCTCGCCTTGTATGTGAGAAGTTCCGAGTTCCATCAAATCATGTTTCTGGTTGTACCACACTCGACTTGTTTCTCCAGGCAGCGATCTTGTTCTTCAAGGTTTGTATTTCAAATTTAAAGAGTCAAGAGAGGGTTATAATCACAATTTAGAGGAAAAAAAAGTAGTCTCCTTGATTTTAGTGGCCTCCATGGCCTTAGGGAGGTGAATTGATTAAAAAAAATAAAAAAAAAAAATAAAAGTATTAGAATATAAAACATGTTTTTAAAACAAATGCAAAAGTTAAATAATTATTGGAGCAATAAGTTTTTAATTACAATTTTTATTCAATCCATAAAAAATTTGTTTTTTACTATTTAAGCAGTACTCGAAAAGGGAAAAAAATGTAACAGGATGGTTTTCAGTATTTTTAGAATACCATCTTATCTTTGCTATATATTTTATACTTTAAAAGATGGCGAGCAGGCATATTGCCTTGTCTTGTCTTACTTGGGGTACTGGTTTCAAGTATTTAGTAACAAATATTGTTTGATGAAAAAAAAGAAAAAAAAAAACTAAAAAAAAAACAGTAAACACTGCGCAGTAAATTTGTATACCAGTTCTTTAGTGTAAACAGGATATAAAAATGTGTTTAAAAATAATGATTGCATAAGAATTAAATCTTGAAAAAGTATAAAAGTAAATTATAACTTCCATTCCTAATCTAATGACCAATCCCCAAACCTATCGGAGTTCAAACGTATCTCCACCTATCCCCCCAATTAAAACAACATAATCAATGGATTTTCCGCTAAAGTCTGCCAAAATGAGGGGGTACCGCCGCCCAAATTTTTTTCCTAGAATAGACCCTTCTACTCCTAGCTATTCAATCCTCCCCTACAATTAGTTAGGTAATATTAAATTTTGTTAAAAACACAGAATCACTAATGAAGACACTAACACAAAATAACATCCCTTGTTATTCAGCTAGTATCAAGTATTTAAAAGATTATGTTTTGTAGTTTTTAATTTTCAATGCTTAAAATTAAGAAAGCTGAATGTGTTTGAGTATAAGACTGACAGATGTATGTAAATATAAGACTGACAGATATGTTTGAGTATAAAACTGATGTGTTTAAGTATTAGACAGTATAAAACTGATGTGTTTAAGTATTAGACAGATGTTTTCAAGTATAAGAAAATGTCAGATGTGTATTACACTATTTAAATTATATTTCTTTGTAGATCAAAATTTTAAAGAGATCTGGTTTAAAGAATTCAAATATAAATAAGCCCAAAAATAAAACAGAAGCTGAAATGAAAATAGCTTTAAAAGTTAAAGAAGCAGAGTATCAAGCTGCAAGGTATTATCATTATTTACTACATTAGAACTTTAAGAAATTTTGCATCAAATTAAAGAGAAAACAGTTTTGAAAATTATTTATTATTTAACTAATTTTATAACAGGGCTCAATTAACGGTCAGACATTTTTGAGACCTGCTATAGTAGGGCAACTAACCATTGTTGATTTTCCTAATATATAGTTCCTAATATATAACTTATTATATATAATATATATAATAAGTTTCCCCTTATCTAATTGATAAGGGGAAACCATTGTTGATGGTTTCCCCTTATCAATTAGATCTCAAAAGCAGTCCAGAGGCAGTTATGTTTACCGTTAAATTTAGCCCTGTTTATATATTCCCTTATTTTTTAAAAAATTGTTTTTTTATATTAGTTTTAATCAATTCAATTGTTAATCTTTGAAGCTTAAATGGGTTTCTCAATTATTCCTTTTTTTTTTTCTTTTCAACAATTTAATTTTTCTTTTTTTTTTTTCTTCTCAATAATTCAATTGTTAATCTTTAATGTTTAACTCTTATTGTATTGTCGTTTGTATATATAGTGGTTTTTTAAAAAAGTTTTTATTATAGCCTTTTATATCTGTTTTTAGAATATAGTTCTGCTTTTGTTCAAAATAAAGGTAATCTCAGTCAGAAATTTGATATCACAGTGATATCATAATGATCTTATATTAAGAGATATAATATCATATCTCATTTATTCATCTTTCATTTTTCATAAGCTTTCATTTTTTCTTAAACTTTTTTTTCAATAATAGTTTAATTTATGTTAATGAACAAAAATAGTTTTGTCCAAAATGTTGTTGATAATTTATGAAGATAAAAAAAACCTCAAAGAAAAAAAAAAAGGAATTGAATTAAAAGGCCTTGGCATGAAGCGGGAGCGATCACTCGCGTCACATGAAACACGTTCGTTAATGGAGTATTTATAAATTTTGGGCGCGATAAACGCTCGCTAATTTAGTTACGAGAGTAATAAATCGCGTTCGTCCTAAAAATTTGAGAGGGAGAAAACTAATAATGGTTTACTTGATTTTAAGTTAAATTTTTTTTATAAAAGGTTTTTGTCAAAGATTCTTGGTTAATTAAACAAAAAAGTTCGCTTATTGTTAAAAACAAAATAATCTCTATTCAAATATCTTTAATTGCATTTTTTCGACAAATAATAAGTATTTAGGAAGTCGAAAGAATTTTAAATGGTTTGTAAGGCAGTGCGCTGCTAAATAATAATTTTAAAATGTTTATTGTCTAAAGAACACTGTATAACAAATTAAAAATTAATAAAATTGTGTGGAACACCCATATCCAAAAATAAAAGATCGCTCCCGATAATTTAATGACAAGCGCACATAATCATGCTTGCTAAAAAATTTGAGTTTTACTGGCGCAAAACATTGCACTGGACAATTTTCTTCATGCCAAGGCCTGTGTTATCATAACATAAGATGTTTTAGAGAATAGTATTGATATTGAAATAAAATCACACACTGATCTCTTTCTAAAAATCCAAACTATTTTAGTAAGGGTAGTGAAAACAACCAAATATTTTATATTTAATTATAAGTATTAATGACTTAATTTGTTTACATGAAAAACTTGTTAAAAAAAATATTTTTTTTTTTTATACAAAAAAATAGCAATTAGTTTTCTTACTTTACTGTGCATTTGATAAAAACAGTAAAGTTTAGTAAAAACATTTGAAAAACAAATTTAAAAATTGTCGATGTTTCAAGAACAAATATTAAAGTATTTCCGTAATATACTGTCTAAAAACAGTCGCAAAAAAGTTGTTTATCAAAAAATGCTTTTATTTTCGTTATATTTGTATCTCCTTTTTTTCTTGACTTGTATCAATTTTGGTAGTGGAAAATAACTAATGCCCTAAAAATAAAAAAACAAAAATAGTAAAATGTTTAGGTATATTATTTTTTTGACAACATCTTTTTTAATATTTTACTTTTTTTTAGCTTATTATTAAATTTAGATATTCTACTTCGTATAGTCTTTGATTCCTTTCTTTATTCCTTTCTATTATTTAAATTGCTGTTTTATTCTCTCAAGTTTTTTATAGCTTTTGCCGCAAATTCTTAAAACGCTTACTATATAACAAGGTGGTCAAGTTGTCAAAAAAAATTACTTTAAGTGTGGACGAACAAGGCGTGCGACTGCACACGCTTCCTAGAAAGGCTTGACACGTTTAAAAAGACATATCACACCTTGTTTAAAAGCAAGTATCTGCTGTGTCATGTTGGAATACTTTTATTTGATTGTACGTGAAAATTAAACTAAAATATTTATTTTTAAAAAATATATAAAAAATTCTAATTAATTTACTTCATTATTTTGTTTAAAAATATTACGTATATTCTATAACCCCTGTATAACTTCTGTATAACTATATAAAAAAAGTTACACAACCGAGAAACCTAATTGAAAAAAAGGTTTTGATTTGTATAGTTATTAAATTATATAAATCTAAAAAAAAAAATTATGTTTCTCCAAATTTACCCTTAGACGCTTCTGATCACAGTTTGATCTCTCTAAAACTACTATCTCATTTTTCTTCATCATCAGAAACCCCTCATCATCGTACCTCTTACCTTGAAGCTGACTGGGATTTTTTTTGTGTGATTTTCTCTTTGATGGCTCTTGGATAGAAATCATTTGTCTTCCTGCTGCCAAATATGCTTGCATGGAGCATTTTATTACCTCTCAACAATTTTAAGTCAAGCCTCACTCTTATTCATTATCATATGTTATGATTTTCATCTTATTGTGCTGTTGCAACTTCCAATCATAACCATTACTTCCATATCTATCACCAAACTAATTAACTAAAGTGGCATTGTTGGCTAATGATGCTACAATTTATTCTTGTCTTGATAAGAAGCCAACACCCTCTGATTGCTTGGAGGGGGCATTTGAGCTTGAAAAGAATCTTACTTCTGCTACAGCATGAGACTTAGAGTTGCAAAAAGTTGTGTTTTTTTCCAAAGTTTGTTTGTTTTTTTTTGTTTGTTTTTTTTTTTGCATTTTTTTTTTGGCATTTTTTGGCATTTTTTTGGGGGGTTTTTTAGTGCTGTTTTGCTTTTTTTTTTTTAACAATTTTTTAGTTTTTTTTTTTTTTTTTTTGCAAAAATTTTAGAATAGTTTTCCTTTTTTCTAGTATATTTTTAGTATATGACCATTAAAAACATAATTAGATGTGTAAACAACAATTTAACATAAATTTTTAATAACAAAGTTAAATTATCTTTTAAGTTAGTTATATATCTAGCAAGGATGTGTAATGATTCACCCCTTTCAGATTTTTACTTCCATTCAGCTAAGACCATACCGAAATTCTTAAAATTCTTTAAGATCAGACCGTAATTCTTTAAATTCTTTAAGATTAAAAAAATAAATGAAATTTTTTTTCTTAATCCTTTAGTCAATCAAAATATTAATGAAACGTTTAACATGGTATTTAATGCTTGGTTTTATTTTGTTTTCATAACAATATCGGCATAGTGTCAATTAAAAATAAAATAATAAATTTTTTTAAACGTGTTTTAAATTTTAATAATAGTTATACAAATATGTGTTGCTGCATTTAGTGAGATTTAAATAGTTTTAAAAAATGGTTCGTGCAACAAAAAAAAATAGTCAAACTAAATTAAATAGAGTGAAAAAAATTCTTTTTAAAAAGCCTGTAGCTGTAAATTCTTTTTTTTAGTATTTAAAAAAAAATTTTAATTTCTTTTTTTTTTTAAATAATTATTTTATTTATAGATAGTTAAACCATATATTCTGGAAAACGTGTATAAACTACCTCAAGTTTATATTCCAATAGGATATAATATTATATCGCTTTACAAAAAGCAGAAGATGAAAATTGCCTGTTGCAAGAAGCAACAGGTGATTTTTGTCTTCTGAGCGGTAACATTAGTGCAGAAATGAACGCAGCTTTAAACAAAAAATATCCTGGTTTTATGATTGCTCTACCGCAAGACGAAGCTATTTCAGTCAATTATCAAAAATTGTCACCCGATTTAACTTCAGACATGTCAACTTTGATAGTGTTTACCAATACGTTAAGCGAATGGACAATACCTCAAGATTATATGTTAGAATTTGATTTGGGTATTCATAAAACGTTAAATCCACCAACAAAATTTTCTACCGAGGCCAATAGTCCGGATATAGTCTTGTTGACTAAAATTGCATTAGTAGAGGGCATCATTTATTATTTGTTTAAAAGCATAAAAGTTTACCCCAATTATCAAAAAAATAACACTACACCTGCCAACAACGTCGTATACAATCGATCATATGATTGTTTCAAACAAATGTTTATTAAAAAAAGTTATTTAAAAAAATTTAGAGAAGAAATACTCAACAAAAATTTAGGTTTAACTGAAACACTAGTTAAGGGAGCAAGTTGAGACGAAACAAGAACGCTTATGACATCAACAGATGCTGCAGCAGTAATAAGACTTGTTAATAAGGTGGACAGATTTGCTGAATATCAAAATGTTTTAAGAACTACTTATAATAATAGATTGAATGAAGAAAGAGGTTATCGGTTTAGAGTTTCGTTGTGTCTGTTGTGCAAATATTTTCAAATTAAAACCTATTACGGAAAAGGAAAACAACTGAGACTCTAATTCAATATCGAAACCGACATGAAAATAATGTAGGTCTTTAAATCAAAAATCCTGTTCTTTGGTTTAACACTTATAGAATCAAAGCTAGTTTACCTTTTGAAAAATCTTTATACATTAACAGTTACAAAGACGTACCTTATACTATACTTCGTTTTGCTCATTACGAACAAGTCATTACTAACGTCGAAAGCACAAACACTGTTACCATTAATTTAGGAAACATAAAAACATCAGACCTTGTACCTCATTGTATTTTGTTTTCCTTACAAGCTAAAAAGGAAATGGATTATCTCACTAAAGCTAGCCTGTCTCCGGCCGAAATGGCTTGCACAATGATAACTAAAATTACT